CTGTGTTTATATGCTATCATTCATTCATCTATCTGTCCGTCTATCTATCTGTCTGTCTGTCTGTCTATCTATCATCCCTCCTCTGCTGGCGGGCATCCAGGCTGAGGATCTTCTGTGCACAGGTCTACAGTGGCTGAGCTAGTTACAGCCCACAAACTTTGTGTGAGGGTTGACATCACCCACATTTTCACCACCACTTGTTACATATTTTCTCGATGACATGCCAGCTCCTCTGGGCTGAGACAGCAGGGTCTCAGGGCAGTGTGATTTGTATTTCTCTGATGGTGAAAACATTTATGGTTATCTGTGCTGCTTTTGAGAACTGTTCAACTCATTTGTTCACTTATCAGTTGGGTGACTTGGTTTACTGTTGCAATTTTTTTATATCCTTGATATGTTTTCGATCATAATCTCCTATCAAATGAGCAGCTGACAGACATTTTGGCCTAGTCTATCTGTGGCAACTGTAAATACATGAAACATATTTTCTCTCTTTCATGGTTGTCATAACTTACGGCTTGTTTTGAAATGTCACGTTTACTGTTTTTATAAACAGATGTTTTGACTCTCTCCCATCCAGCTACTTAAAAACCAGGTCCAGCCTGATGAGCTTCTGAGGTTGAGTGGGAGGTACCGCCACAGACCGTGTTTTGAGTTTCTATACAACCAGTTTTATGAAATTTTTCTCTTCTGACTTCTCTTCTGTTACTTTGACATTTTTTCTTAAAGTGTGTCTTGGCCAGGTGTTCTGGCAAGACATTTTCCTACAGTATAAACAGAGGTTCTGACCTCTCTTCTTCCTGCCCCTTCAGGTCCGGTTCTCAGGTCATCAGCCGTTACTGCTGGGGTTCACGCCCCACAAAGCAGCTTCATTGGTCAGGGTGCTGTCAACAAGGTTCCAGCACAGCTACCTCTTGAGGGCTCTCCTTGGCCCAAGAAAGCTCACTCAAGCAGGCAGGTACTGGCTGCTCCCAGCCCTAAGTGTCTCCTGAGGAAACACTGTTTCTTGTTGATGGCCATGCACACTAGCAGAAACTTACAGACCAAACTCTCAGAACAATCTTGATACTGGCTTCTTGACTAGGTCTCTGCCACGGGCTCTCTCATCAGCTGGTTTAGTCCAGTTTGAGCAAGAATCCTGCTGTCAGTTTTGTTTAAAATTCTCCAGTCTCAATACCTAATCAAACTGATTATACGTCATTCTTAATATCTTATCACCCAGGCTCATTTTCTGGCGAAAGCCAGTTATGCAGATCAAACAAGAATCCCCCCTCGCCATGATGTTTCCATAGCAACTTTCCACCCACTGACCCCAACCATCTCCCTTGGTTACTAATCCCCACTGTTCTATTTGATGCTGAAGCCAATCTCTCTCTCCTTCCTTGGTTGACACAGTGCTCTAAATGAGGTCTTTTTTGCCATCTTAACAAATGAGGGAATGAATTTTTCTTTAGGTTTATATAAACACCAATAGGATTGTAGCGTGATTAACATCTTGGAAGCCTGTTTGGTTATTTTGCAAAGGTGCACATTTGTTTACCTATCACACAGAAACTCGAATTCCTCCAAGGGACACTAGGGAATGGTCAGGAGTGCTACACTGGGAGCTTCAGGATGCTGCTGCGTACACCATCAGTGTCAGAGTTATTTCCTTAGGCACAAAGACAGCCTTGATGGCTGCATACACGCTTCACAGTTTCCAGCTCACTGAGGCTGGCGGCTTCTCCCGTGCTCCTTTCCTGAGGGCTGTTTATAGCTGAGAGTCTGTCCTTGGGCGCTCCCAGAACCAGCACTCACTGCTTCGATGTCCACTGGGTTAAAAATACATCAAGCCTGAATGTAAGGTTTCACACTTTTCTCCTATGGGGACCAGCAGGAGGCAGACTGACTTGAATGTGTGGTTTACTTGGAGAGGGAAGGTGTGACTCTTCACTGCGTAATCCCCAGTGTCTGTCCCGTCCCATCTGCTGTTGTTGAGATGCCACCCAGGTGAGGTTCGTGTTGCCTGTGATCTGAATTCTAAGCATACAGGAGAGGGGTACCATTTGCGTTCTCCACCACAGCCTCTGCTGGTACCTGATTTTGTGACCACGGTCATCTTTATCTAAGACAACTAGTTCTCACTCTTTAGACTCTGGATTGATGTTTATCAGTATTCTGTCATCTGTAAGATGCTGTGTGCTGTTAAAATGTGCAGTAGAAAAGAATGTTTTAGTTAACACTGTAGGACACTCTGCTTCTTTGGATGATATAGGGGCTTTTGTTTAGAGAATCCAAATTTGTAGTAAAGTCAGGGTGGAGTGTCTTTTGTCTAGTCTGGTCTGATCCAAACTCTAGCCAGCACTAGAGTCACCTGGATTCTGGGCTTGTGGAAGACAGACTACTGAGCTCCGCCCTCGGGTGTTTGCGTCAGTAGGGCAGGATAGCCCTGGATCAGCATCTCTCACAAGCCCCCAGGGGGTGCTGCTGTTAGGTCTAAGGTCTTTGAGATCCCTGTGTGCCAAGGACGAGGGGTCTTCACTGTTTTCTTTTGGGAGAGCAGAGTTTCATTTAAAATGCCTTGTCCTGTGAACTCCATAGGATGAGGCAAACAGTGGAAGACCTAGCCATCATTGTCACACAGACACGATGAATGTAGCCACACAGTGAGTGTCAGGTAGGGAGATATCCTTGGGTGGAGTAGAATAGTTGAAGGGGAGTTGTGTATAGAAGATGCTGGCTAATTAAGTGGACTTGTAAGTTCCTTGTGTCTTCCTGACTCCATATTGGACCTGAGATCAGATCACGGAGTTAGCCCACCCCTGCTTCCAATTTTCCTTGACAGCTGCCATCACAGCTGATGCTGAGCACCTGATCTCAGCCAGAACAACATGGTTTGCTTACTCACTCAATGCCCCAGGAAGCCTCTTCTCTTCCCTTTGCCCTCCATTACCTTCTGCAAGCACACACTGGGGACTTTAGGAAGCAGGAACACAGACAGATTCATAGGTTTATCATCAGCATCATATTTGTTGGGGGAGGTGTGTCTTCTAGAATAACACTATTCCTGGTGTGGTATGCAAGGTGGCTGCAGGCCCTCAAATGAATGAATGAAACTGACGACCAGTCAGCAATCAAGAGCAATAGTGGATGGCGTGTGAACACGAGGCGCCCCCTCCTGTAGTTTCCCTCCACACTCCTTCCCCCGCTTCAAGAGACAACGACAAAGTACAGAAACTAAACAACCCAGGACCTTTTACAGCAGCAGAGGTTCTCAATCCATGGGTTGTGACCCCTTTGGGGGTCAAGCAGCCCTTCCACAGGGGTTGTCTGGGACTGTCAGAAAGCACAGATGTTCACATCATGATTCTTACGAGTGACAAAAGCACAGTTATGAAGCAGCAGAGAAAACAGTTGTGTGGTTGGGGTCAGCCCAGCATGAGGAACTGTATTAGAGGGTCGCTGCCTTAGGATGCCAAGAACCACTGCACTAGGGCGCTGAGAGTAGAGAGGGCCCGTCTGGGCCTCCCCCAGATCAGCCACCACATACCGCAGGCTCTGTCCCTCAAGGGAAGCCACAGCGCTCTAGCCTGTGTGTGCCACAGTGGTGACCTGCATCTTTGTCCTATACTGACACTCTAATTAGCTGGAAGTATTAGGTGTTAAGGACAGTGAGGCCCACTGGGCCCATCTCAGATGAGAATTGAAGGAATTCGCAGAGTGAAGGATAGATAGCGGGGAAGACCCCCTCCCCTCTCCTCTTAGTCCTGCAGGTTTACTGGGGCAGGAACTTGGTTTGATTTAAAATTCCCACCCCTTTTTTCCCCTTTATTTCTTGAGGCAGGGTTCCTCTGTGAAGCCCTGGCTGTCCTGGACTGGCTTTGTAGACCAGGCTGGCCTTGAACTCAGAGATCCACCTGCCTCTGCCTCCCTGAGTGCTGGGATTAGAGGTCATTAAACTGGCTTGGGTTTCAAACTCTTGAGTTCCATGTCTTCCCTCTAGAAGCCTTGGCTGATCTCCACTCTCTGCTCTGCCCACCTGCTGACGGTACAGCTGCCAGGCTTCTTGCCCTTGCAAGACACATATTTTAAAACCTCTCTTCTATATGCCCCCAGAGCTGAGCATGCGCCTGGGAAGTCATGTGAGTGAAAAGGGGGGTAGGAGGGGTATCTGTGGTGTTGTTTTGAGAATGGTTGTGCTTTAGTATGTGGAGTATGTAGAGACTACAAGGTATGCTTTCTCTAATAGTTCTCTCCCCCTTTTTTTCTTCCCCATCCCCCATGTTGTGAGAACAATATAAGGCCAGGAGGAAGAAAATATTCGGGCACCCAGGACGTCCCAGTTTCTGGAACTGTGAGACGCACATTTTCATTATTTAAGTCACTCAGTCAATGACATTTTTGTTATGACAGCGTGAACAACGAAGACCTAGGCAAAGATAAGAACTAAGACAAAAAAAAAAAGTTTCGGTGTGGTCATTTTAAACTTTTTGCATCACATTTTTCCAGGTTAAAATTTTTCCCTCATATAAAACATCAGCCTTTCCCCTCGGTTGCATGTGTTGGCACGGCTGTTAAAAACATTACAACCTCAGGAGGGTGACTCATACATAAGCTGTTGAAAATGCACCCTGACAGCCTCTTTCTGGACGTTTTCTTTCAGGACAGCAGAATTTATATTCATAAATCTGCTCTTTTGAAAATGAGCTCTCTGGGCAGTTCCTAGCTTCAGGCAAGCTGGAGATGCTCCCAGAGAAAAGCCGAAGAGGAGGAAGGTCAAATGCCTTTTTACCATTGCCAGTAATCCAGCACAGCACACTGCTTAACACAGTCCACGCTGATAAATGAAAACATATCGATCAAGTGCACGATTTTACACACCCGCGCAGCAGAGCAGGACCAAACCCACGTGCACCCGACCGTGACCTTCGCTCCTCTGTGAAGTCCTCATGGAGTTGGAGAGTTTGCACTTTGCTCCTTCCTCGTTCTAACTCCCAGCATTCCCTGCTTCCATCTCTGTTTGCATAAACGCGAGTGTGAGAGTGCGCGCCTCCTGGGGCAGCCTTGCGACCATGTTTCTCCTCACTCCGGTCTTGGTGGCAGTTGTCTGCGTCGTGATTGTATGGGTCTTTAAGAGTGCCGACGGAAACCTGGAGAGAAGGAAGGAGGAGGCTCAAGCTCGGCCCTGGGGAGATGAAGATCTGAAAGACAGCACGGACCACCTTCCAGTGGAGGAAGGTAGCAGCCCCCGGGGCTTCGCCCTTCTCTTGTTTGTGACCCCGTAAACGGATGCCAGGACTATGGAAAGCCAGCCAGGCCGTAGAATCACCACTCCTGCCGTGAAAGCAGGATGTTTGACGAAGATGGGTCGCTGCTCAGGTCACTTGCGGGCACCAGCCCCTCCTCGGTCCAAAGCCATGGAGGCTTAGGTCTCTCCCGGCTCAGACCCTCTGCTGGCCAATACAGTCTCTCTTTGGGGGTGGGGGGTGTCTGTACAGAATGGCGTCAAGCCTGGCCAGGTCTTTATTGGAAATGTTAAACTGAGGAAGTAGCATGTCCAGGGATCAGCTACTTTTTTATTGTGCCAGGACCTGTGGGTTAGAGACAAGAGTAGCCTCCAAGCTCAGAAAGATGAAGGGCCAATTTAGGGGAGGAGGTAAAATAAGGAGTCAGATCCCGTGGAACTGGTCTAGGGTGTTTAGGAAACGCTTGGAGACCTGGTAGGGCTTTGGGAAAGGACAAAGCTAACCTGGAGGGTGAGCAGACAGGAGCAACAGGGGCTCATGTTGTGGTGACCCCCACCATAAAATTATTTTTGTTGCTACTTCATAATTGTAAGTTTGCTGCTGTTATGAATCGTGATATAAATATCTGATATACAGGATATCTGATATGTGACACCCCCTCCCCTTCGCCAATGGGTCACAACCCGCAGGCTGAGAACCTCTGCACTGGAAAAATGGAGGAGAGAGGGGGTCTCCTAGAATTGTGAGCAGTCTGCCCTGGAGACAGGTTGCCTGAGCTGGGTGGGGAAACAGACTCTAGTGGGAGAAGCTGGTTAATTTTCAGTGAGTCTTCCTCCCCGGAGGCTGTCTGATACCTGCGTGTGCATGTTCCTGTGTACTTATATGTGCATGTATTCGTGTGTGGATATATATGTGTGCATGTGTGTGGTAAGCATGTGTATACATGGATGTGTACATATGTACATATGTGTGTGTGCATGTGTGTGTATGTGTGTGTCTATATGTGTGTGTATGTGTTTCTGTGTGTGTGTGTGTGTGTGTGTGTGTGTGTGTGTGGGGCGGCCTTGATCTCAGGACTAGGTTCTTGTCTCCCTTTGACACTGGGAGTTACAGTACAGCTGCTTGTCTGCATATGAATCAAGCCAGAGAGTTTCTCTGGAGGACTAGCTCTGTTGGCGTGTGCTGAAGGACACCCTGCTCAGAAAGCCAGCTGCACAGCCTCATGTGCTGTGTCCTGAGAAGCCATGGCAAGTGAGTCAAAAAGGTGCCTGATGCCCGTAGCCTGCCAAGCCCCAGAGCTTAGCCAGGCACCCTTCAGCCCGTGTAGATGTTTACCATCGCCTAGAGCGAGGCAAAGCCAGCAACACCCAGATACTGAGTGTCATGTGGTTTGTCAAATGCTCCACTGAAGGGAAACACAGGATGGGCATATGGTTGTGGTTTTGTGACACTGTAAAGTTCAGACTTCCAAGTCAGACAGTGTAAGTGGGGGACTGTCTGGTCCCACGGGGAAAGCACCCCTCTTAGCATAGTTCTAAGCTTTGGTGAAGCATGGTGCTTTGATGGGGGGCTGTGTAGAGAGGCAAGGAAGAGGGAGGGAATGGTTGAGACACTGCCATCAGTGGGCAGGGTGGGAGGAGCCAGCTTAGAGGGCTCTGTGGGGGCGTGCTGGATTTAAGATACCCACAGTGTTAGATGAGAGACTGGCCAGAGGCTGGCATCGGCTTGTGGCGGCACCCAGTGGTTAGGGAACTGGTGACATCACCGAGTGGGCACTGTTTGAGAGAAGGCTGAGGGCAGAACATGGGAGACACCCAAAGATAAGAGGACTACAGTAGAGAGATGGCCTCCAGAAAGATGACGCAGCGGAAGAGCCTCCAGGCCACAGCGGCGTTTGTGGAGTAGGCTTCCTCATCTTCACAGTAATACAAGGCAGGCATTCCCATCATCCCATCCCCCTTTGCAGGAGTCAGAGGCTCAGAGATGGCACCGCCCACCTAGGCACGGAGGAACCCAGAAGTCTGTTTCCAGGGTCCCGGCACAGAGCTGGGTGGCCTCACCCACAGAACAGCCTAGAATGAAGAAGGCGTGAAAACACAGTTTCAGAGACAGCGCTCTTCCCCTCTGAGGCCACATTCCTGGGAGCCGTCAGGAGTTTAGGAGCAGAGGGGAGTGGCACTGTTTGCTTTCAGAGGGCCTTGCTAGTTCTCCACCATGTCTCTGCAGGAGACTGCTGAGTTCCTAGGCTGCAAGCCACCACCCAGCCCTCACCCCACAGACAGAGTGGGGCCTTCTGTCCCGGAGAAGGCTGCAGTGTGGGTGGCCCTGCAGTGCACAGCCTGGGAGAGTCACTCGGGAAAAATCCTACGGCGGTGACGAGCTCTCTTGGTTTGCATCTCTTGTTTCATGGTGCTGCACCAGGAGAGAACCTTGGACTTGGGAGCTGGCTATGCTTCTGGTCTGCAGATTACGCAGACATGACTGGGTTTTAAGAGTGGCTGACTGGTCGCTCAGCCAAGGGAGCAGCTCATCCGTGACAGTGCTCCTGTACAACCTTCTCAACACAAGCTTACACGGGTCACTCCTGTGGATGTGTGTGTGTGGACGCCTGACAGTATTGAGAGTCGTTCCGAACTGATAGCTAGCTAGGCATACAGGTGATGACTCTGTCGGCACCCCCATTTCCTTCTAACTCAGTGGCTCTCACCCTTCCTAATGCTGCGACCCTTTAGTACAGTCCTCATGTTGTGACATAACATTATTTATTCCTACTTGAGAACTGTCATTTTGCTTCTGCTATGAATTGTAATGTAGATATCTGATAGGCAGGATAGAAGACGTGTGAAAGGGCCCTTAGACGACCCCCACTCCCAGAGGTCATGACTCACAGGGTAAGAAGCTCTGTTCTCACTGGTCCCAAAGTGCTGGACACCTTTCCTCACAGCAGCTGAGAGCTGCCATGGTGCCGTTCACGCTGCAGCTGGGGTTCTCATCCCTGTAGCCAGTCTCTTTCTGGTGAGCATTTCTTGTCTTTCTCTGCTCTAATTTCAGGTCACTCTAGGTGCACATGTAACATAGATGTGTGGGGCCAGCTTTCTGCCTGCCCTCTACCGGAATCTCTCAGGGCTGGGTCTTTACTCTCACTTTTGTCTCGGAGTCTCCTGTGGCTGTTGTGACCTCTGGCCTCTGGCCTCTGGGCTGAGGCATTTATTACACAACATCTTTACTCAAAGGAATCTTAATGTCAACTGGCTCTTGATTTCTGTTGCACGTTAAGGCCCTGTGGTTCCCAAATGGATCCTTTCCCACTCTTTCTCATCTCAGAAAACGGCCCACCACTACCCAGCTCCCGAAACCTAAACCCAAGAAGGACTATCTTCCTTGGAAGCAAGTCTCCGGGTGGGTTTTTCATCACGATGCTTTGGGCATCCGTTGTTCTTTCTACTTCCATGATGGGCCAAGTCAACATCATCCCTCACATCAGATATGGCTACAGCTTCTGTGTGGCCTTTCTTTAGCATTCTTGTCTCTGTCTAATATGTCCCACACAAGCATGTTAGAGTATGTCAGTCCTGCTGTGCAGTCAGTCCTGCTTCCTATGACACCAAACCGTAGTCCACAGTTGCACCAGAGGCATACCCATTGGGCGCATATACCCTGGCTTTTGGACTACTTCGTGTTCTGGGAATGACCTCTCTTCCTTGCCCAGTGAGACCCAGCCAAGGTTTCTTTCAGCTGTTCAGACTGGCCGGAAACACAGCCTTTCCCACGGTCACTCTCACAAACTATTAAAAATTTTGTATTATAAAATTCACTATTTTTATTCATTGAAAACGTCATTAGATACCAAACAACCTTCACTTTGTTTTACTTATTTTGTGATTTTGTGTGTGTATGTTTGTATACATAGGCATGTACGTGCCATGTCATGCATGTATGTAAGTCAGAAGACAAATTGAGGAGCTGGTTGTCTTTCTACCATGTGGGTCCTTGGGATCATACTCAGTCTGTTGGGCTTGGTGGCAATCACCTTCACTACCTGAGCCATTTGCTGTTTATATGCCAGACTCTTACTGCTCAGGTTCCTCCCTTTTATCCATTGTCTCAGAACCTCCCTTTGCTCTCTGTGTATAGCCCTTTTTGTTTTTCAAGACAGGGTTTCTCTGGCTGTCCTGGACTTGCTTTGTAGACCAGGTTGGCCTTGAACTCACAGAGATCTGCCTCCCCAGGCTCATGCCTGGGTTTACAGGCATGAGCCACCTCACCTGGCTATTATTCTGTCCTTAAAACACTTGATGGTTTGTTTACACATATAAATTCTAAGGGTATAAAATTATGCTTATTTTATCCATACATTCTCAGTAAGATCTTGTTCAACAAACCGCCTATTTTAGTATTCTAGGAAGAGTACGGGAATGTTGCTAAAGGTGACCTATACATGCATGATATTTTGTGTTTTGCAACTGTGTGATTATGACATTGAAAGTAATTTGGCAAGTCAATCACACCCACCGATGGCACCTCATCCCTCCGCCCAGAATATCATCACCTCCAACCAGGGTAAAATCATTGCTCCTGGCATCTCCTGAGTGGAGGCCCTCGGGAGAAAACTGCTCACACACTCACAGTTCTAGGACAGTCAACGTCAGGATTTGGCTTCCTTTTTCACACTTCGCTTCTTATAAGTAGAGCATGTATGTAACTCACTCATCAGCCAAGCTTGCTCTACTAGAGACAAAACAAACAAACAAAAGAAGCCACAAACAACCAATAAACCAACAAACACCCGACCAACCAAACAAACAGCAATAATAAGTTTTAAAAAATAAGTCTGAGTCTAGGCATTGTCCTGTGAGCTGGCGAAGCGGGGTCAGACAGATCCCTGAAGCTCTCTAAAGCCAACCTTGTCCACCGTGCTGTGCCCCAGGCCAGTAAAGAAAACTTGCTCCACAGAAAATGAAGAACATCCAAAGTTGTTCTGTTTTATACACACACCCTCGCTCTCACACACACACTCTCTCTCACACACAGACATCACCTTCACATGCTTTCAGGAGACTGATGCCTCTTGAAGGCTTTTGAGAATGTCAAGGGAGGTAACTTCACGGGGCCCTGCACTCTGAAGCTGAGGCTGCATGGGCCCCGGGTTTCTTCTGTGGCCTGACTTACGTGTGCAGGGCAGCCACGTTAGCTCTCGTGATGTCTCCAGCTCGCTGCTCCAGCCACTCGTGCGTCAGGCTAGCACTCTATGTACACTCCTCTTCCTTCTAAAGGCCTTTCCAGATACACTTGATGTCTTCACCGCCTCACCCCACCCCATAGAAGCCTGTGTAACTTTAACACTTGTTTCTTTCTTTGCTGTTCTTCCTGGTCCTAAAGAAAGTGGCTCTCGGGTTTCTTGATCTTTTATGTTTTCCATTTTTGCTTTGTCCTATTCAAGCTTTTCTTTTCTTTTTTTCTTACCTTCCACTTATCTCTTATTTAGGCAATTTAACCTTAATAATTCTATTATTTTTCAGAAGCTCTATTTTTCATCTCTGCTGTTACCATTTATTCTTTCTTTAGTAATACTCTAGAGATTTATGTAAGTATATATTTTTCCTGTCTAAGCACAGTGTCACAGTTTGCTGTTCTGAGCCTGTGAATTCTTGGAGCACTGGAGCACCTGGTTTTATTGCTAAACATGGGTTTGAATAATTTTGCTCAAGATATTTTTTCCCCTGTGTAAAGGATTACATTGGTAAATTATTGAAAGTTTCTAAAATTCTGTACATAATATCATTTGCTTCTGCTGGAAACTGCCGTGCTTCCAAAAAGAAACACTGAGTTAGAGGAGGAACATGTCATAGACCCCTGAGCGATGACTTATTTGTAATTCACACTTTCCCAAAGGATGAAACTTGAGGGTCCAGGCTGATTCTGCTTCCTATTATCCGTGCAGCGTGAGCCTTGGTTTCGGTTGTCCTTGATCCTAAGGATCAGAAAATGGTGACTGGACCTGAGGAACCGGCAGACGGAGGCAGGAGGCCTCTGAACTGTCCTGGCAGACGCAGGCAGGAGGCCTCTGAGCTCACATCTCTACGTCCATATATTCCCTTGGTTTTAACTTTGGAATTCCTTACAGTGTTGTCAGCCCAGTGCTTTGACAAAGACAAAACCACCTTATATGGTGACTGGAATGGGAGAGTGTGTCAGTGCCGTACTCTATGGTTTAATAGAAACTTCCATTTGTTCTTTGCAGGAAAAACAAAACAAAAACCTCTTTTGCTTTGACTTAGAACTTGAAGAATGACTATGATCAGTGATCAGATTGACTTTTTTTTTTCTTTAATTTGGTTGATCAGTTTGACCTTAATAACTTATGTATAAACATTTCAGGAACCGTATCCACGCCCCCCCCCCCCCCCGTGACCTTATGACCAGGGAGGTGGCTGAATGTGCTGCTCTTCCGGCTCTCCTTTGTAGATGCTGATGAATGGCAAGAGTCAGAGGACTGTGTGGAGCACATCCCGTTCTCTCACACCCGGTACTCAGAGCAAGAGATGAAGACGCGAGCTCGGGAATTCTATGAGCTCCTCAGTAAGAGGCGCTCCGTCAGGTTCATCAGCAGAGAGCAAGTCCCAATGGACGTCATTGAAAACGTCATCAGAACAGCAGGTTGGTAGCACGCCGAGCCTTGGAGAGCGCCAGCTCTGCTGGTGCCGTGACAGCGACGGCACTGGAACAGCAAAGACGTCCAAACACGCCGACAAAGCACGAGTGTGTCTTCGTGACGGTTCCCCTACCAGAAACATGCATTTCTCCTTGCTACATTCTGATGTGATGACAATTTAAAACTTCTGAAGTGAATACCTTTTACGAACTTTTGTTTAAAACTAAACACTCTGAATATGATCTATTGCAGGAGAAACACCTCTCCTCCTTAGACAGGCCCCTTCCTCACACCCAGTTCACAGTTATATGTTTATCTTCTGGGAAATGAACCTCATGGCACTCTAATATGGTAACTGGCTGAGCTAGCAAAATAGTAAGGTTTCCTTCTGTAGATTTGTAACGTAAACTAAAGCAAGATAATTTCACTTTAGATGTAAATTAATATCTCTGTTCAAGGGAAACTAACCAGGAACAGTGAAGCTATTCACTGCATGAATGATTGCCTTCACCGTTACCCTTCTATGTTGTCCTCAACTGTTATCTTACTCCTACCCAAGCCACATTTAAGTTCAAGTGTGGCGCTTGCTGCACACCCATTGAGATCCATCTTTAATCCAAAAGGCATCATTTCAGTCAAGAATACAAATGCCTTGGGTAGTTGTATTCTTTACCTAAGTGGCAACAGTCACTACCCCCCCCCCGTCCTGTGAGTGTGTGTTTAAATTAAAGTAGAATTCTCTTCTTCTTCTCCTCCCCCTGCTCCCCTCCTCCTCCTCTCTCTCTGCCTGCTCTTCTTCCCCCTTCTATAGGTATTTTTTGACACAAGGTATTACTTCGAATCATGGCCTTCCCGTCTAGGCCTCCCAGCTGCTGGGTGGGATCACCCACACATCATATGTATCACCACAACACCTGCTAACGTATTTCCTCTTCATGAGCAGCCTTACACTCCCCTGCAGTCTTTCGCTTAATTTAATTTAACGGGCAATAGGAACAGCTCCAAGCGGGGCCCACACGGAGCCCTGGACCTTTGTGGTGGTGAAGGACCCAGACATGAAGCATAAGATCCGAGGGATCATCGAGGAGGAGGAAGAGATAAATTACATGAAAAGGATGGGAGACCGGTGGGTCGCAGACCTGAAGAAACTGAGGTACACACCTGATGGAATTAGGGGCGCTTGGTTTGTCTGTTACCATAGGAAATGGCCACTGCAGGTCCTGGGTTTGTGGGATTTAAGATTATTTTTATTAATAACTCTATTTTGATGGTGTATTCAGTGTCCATATTAATGTGGCTCCACGTGGAATTGCAGTGCGTGCATACAGGCTGGAGGTATCAAGTTCCACCCTGTCACTTTTCTGTTTTGTTTCTTCATTTTATTTTGAACTGGTTATGAAAAGTCAAACTTGGCATCTGCAAAGGCTCTGATCCAAGTAATTGTTTCTTTTAATTTTTAAAAAAGTGTTTAAAGAGTTATTTTATATTTTAAAGTGTGTGCTTATTTGGGCGTGCCTGTGTGTGTGTGTGTGTGTGTGTGTGTGTGTGTGTGTGTGTGTGAGTGAGTGTGTGTGTGTGACAGAGAGAGAGAGAGGAGGGGTATGTATGTGTAGGTTCTCGTTGAAGCCAGCGGCATTGTGATCCCCTAAAGCTGGAGTTACAGGCACTTAATAACTGTCTCGTGTGGTTACTGGAATCTGAACTTGGGCCCCCTGGAATAATGAAAGTGCGCTTAACTGCTCGGCCATCTCTCCAGTCCAAAAATAATAGATTCTTAGGTAAAACTGAAGAATTACTTCACTTTCCACCAGTCCTGAACATAAGATTGTGACATGCTTGTCAGGATCTTGAATGAAGCAAACTCATGTTTTGCTGCACTGATAGGATCTTCCAAACTGTGTTATCGCAGAGGTTTTAAGTAGTCTGCACTATGAAAGAAGCATCAGGGCTGTGGGGAAGGAAGAAGGAAAGAAAGAGAGAGAAAGAAAGAAAGAAAGAAAGAAAGAAAGAAAGAAAGAAAGAAAGAAAGAAAGGAAGGAAGAAAGGGAGAGAAGGAAGGAAGAAAGGAAGGAGGGAGGGAGGGAAAGAAAGAAAGAGAGAGAGAGAAAGGAAGGAAGGAAGGAAAGAAAGAAAGGAAAGAAAGAAAGAAAGAAAGAAAGAAAGAAAGAAAGAAAGAAAGAAAAGGGGAAGTGGGGCAGTGGTGGGTATTGGCTCTCACCTCTCACAAGGCCCTACAGAGGGAAACCCAGGCTCTCAGCTCTCAGTGCAGAGTGGTCTAAAAGCTCTGTCTTTCAGGGGTGGCCTTCCATGGCCAGCCTGTCACCTACCACCTGACTCGCCACGGTGACAGGAGCCTGAGAAAGGACAGGATCATAAACCTGCAGACACAGTGGTCCTTTAGGCCAGGCATGAGAGTGAGAGTAAGAGGACATGGCCCTCGTGTCCTGCTTTTATCATGAGAGGGTAATAGATTATGGAGTGCATAACACCATACTCTGCTCTCAGATAAGTGTGGAGTATTGACAAGGAAACGACGACTCCTACTGTGTATTCATGAACAAAATGAGTGAGTGTGAGTCAAGGTGAGTTCTGCAGTTAGCGAGACACTGACTCCAGCTGGACACAGAACCACCAGAAACTGCTCTCTCTCCCCGCCATCACCAACAGGGAATTAATTGGTGTCTCATCTATGTATTTTATCATCTCATCATCTCATCATCACTCTTACATACACCTTCCTTATATCTAAAATAGCCGCCAGCCCCCCAGATTTTAACTATTAGTCTACTTTGCTTTTCATTTCACAGACGTTTTTGTTTAGAAATCCGCAATACAAACCAAGTTGCTCTTGAGAATACAATTAAGTTATAGAGTTGCTTAACCATCAGTATGTACACAGAGACACACCTGCAGATATACACACGCTTACACAGATGCACACACACACCTCCCAAGGTTCAGGGAGCCAGTCTCTCATTATACACCCAGGCTGTAGGAGTAAATACTAAGTGACTGAAGAAACACTAGTTAACATGAGAGGATGGGAGCTGGGCAGTTGACCCAGCAGGAAGAACACTGTGGGGCAGGTGGCAGCGCCTGTGTTTGCATTCCTGGCACCCGTTAAAAGCTGGGACTGTGGGATGAGATGACTCAGGGGTTAAAACATGCACTGCTCTTCCAGATCTGAAAATGCCAACTCTCCCTTCAGCAGTCCTTGCTCCTTGTGGCCTTTTTTACTTGCTCTAATATGATGTCTTATTAAATTAGTAAAAACTCAATTAATTTAACTGAGACTAAACAAAGATCAGTTGATAAAGTATGCTTAAGCAAAGTAAGTACAAAAATATTTTTGAATGATCAAGTTGCCTTAAAGTATAAGCAAACTGTTTAATCTTCCTTAAATTTTTAAAAACTTTGTATTGTTCACTTCATCTCTATACATATTTTATACCCGTTTAAAATTTAGTCAGGTCTGGAGAAAGGGCTGGGTGGTTAAGGGCACTCGCTGCCTTTACAGAGGACCCAAATCTGGTTTTCAGCACCCACATGGCAGCTCACCGTGGTTTGTAACTCTGGTCCCAGGGGACCCAGTGTCCTCTTCCGGCTTCCCTTGGTACAGATATGCACATGGCATACATACATACATACATGCACGCGCATACATGAGATAATAAGGAAATAAATTTCTAATTCTAATCATTAGGAATACAATCAGAATCTTAAATTATAAAAATGTCCAAAACCCAATACAATTTACACAGCAGAACGTAGCCTGGGGCACACGCATGGCCTCGTGGCCACATTCGGCTTCCCGGACGCATGATGGAGAACAGCTGGGCTGCTCGTGGCCTGAAGGCAGCGTGTGTTACCGCTGAGTGCTAGAAATCGAGTGAGCCCACAATGTGACTAAGAGGGACCCTCTCGTTCTGGCCTTTCTGTCACCTCAATGTGTGATGCTTGTGTTAGTAAAAGCCACATCCACAGCTTAACTTACGTCATCCTCACGATGACCAAGCCTAGGCTTTGCACACGAGGAAGCTGCAGTGAGAAGGAAACCAGCTGTGCTGGCCCCAGAGCTGAGCTCAGTAATTAACCTTCTCCCTCTCTGTGAGGTGAAAAATGCACTAACCAGTGGGGCAAGGCTGGCTGAGGTGGGAGGGGAGACCCCTGAGAGTGACGGCTCGAGAGCAGCAGAGTAGACATTTCTGATGTGTTTTAAGACAGTTCCCTGTAACCAGGCTAAACTGTTAAAATGAACAGTCATCATTCCCTGGTAATGAATACATGTAATGCCCCATGGGAAGAAGGCAGCAGCTTGGAAAAGCTGATTCTACGGGCTTGTAGTTCTCCTTTCCTTATCTCCTCTAGAATAAAGGTTCAGCATAGGTGGAGGGCCAGGGTAACGGGCTCAAAGGAAATGTACTCAGAGTTAGAAAAGAACGATTTCAGGTTTTCATCAGTGTCCACATGAATGGCCTCCAGCTCCCCAGAGCGCCCTGCCTCCTCCCCCACCTAGGACCCCTTGCCACCCTTCTGCCATCTCGTCGCCACTGTTGCTTGCTTCTTTCCTTGCTGTGGCAGCTGCAGCCCTGACCTCTCCTCTCACTTCTCCCCGGGCCTCCTGCCTGGGCCGTGACCATGGTCCAGCGTCTGTGTCCTCTCCCGCTGGGACAACTTTGTAGTTGGTGCTTCAGTGGTACCACTCTTGGTGCTTTCATCCTCGCCAACACAGCACGCGTTTCTGAAAGGGGCCTGGCCACGCGGTGCTCCTCTGAGCCCCGCAAGGTAAACCAGCCGCCACCTACCACATCAGGGCAAGGTCCTGGGACGTCTCCCTGATCCTCCAGCCCAGCCAGGCCCCGGCATGCCCTCCACTCTGGCCTCCCACACATCCTCCTTCCTGAGCATCTGTCCTCATCCACTCGCTCTTCCTGGGACGCTTTCTCCAACCCCCACTTCCTCGTCTTCACTGCCCTTTTGTGGCTTCCAGTGTTTGCTGGTTTGTTTTTTAATTCACGTTTTTCTTTCAGAGTGGTCCGATACATCTGTTATCTAATTCTTCAGTAGCACTCAGCAGGCTTCACTTCATTGAATATCAGCTTGGCAGTCTAAGGCTATAGGGTCTTTCTGTCTCTCAGCAGTGTGCATGCTTTTCCATGCTAAGCACACAACAGTGTACATATATCAACTTCATTAACCTCATAGAAAAGGATGAATGTGGCAAAAAATTAAAAATCTAGTCTCTTTCAATTTAAATAGAAAAAGACAAGTAAATGTGTATTTAAAAATTATAGATAAGCTAAGGTAGGTTTCTAACAATGGCGTACCCCAAAAACTATTCTTCTGAATATTCTTTCTACCCTGCCCCCCAGAACCAATTGGATTAAGGAATACTTGGACACTGCCCCAGTTCTGATTCTCGTTTTCAAGCAAGTCCACGGCTTTGCTACGAACGGAAAGAAAAAGGTCCACTACTACAATGAGATCAGTGTGTCCATTGCCTGTGGCCTCCTGCTGGCCGCGCTGCAGGTATGCCGCCCGCCCCAGGCCCCAGGACCCTTGGAGACCACGAGGGCTTTCCTGGAAAGTTTAGCCACGTTTCCAACTACGGGCCATTTGGAGATTGTTTATCTAAGTCTGTGTTCCTCGGAAGGTTAACCCCGATGTGACAACAAACCCCGGAAACCTGGACTGGTGGGTAACGTGTCTGCAGGCTGAAATTCTCCCAGTTGCAATAGCTCAGGGTCACGAATGCTGTGTGCTTGCTCTCTTCTGCGAGAGCTTGTGACTGGAGGATTTGAGCAGTCACAGGAGAAGAGAGCTGAGCCTGAAAGTCTCTGAGATGCACTCCCTTGCTGTGTGTGCTGCCCCTTTCCAGGCCGGAGGGATGGTTAAACAGCCATCAGGCTCTTAGCTCCTTCTTGAAAGGTTTACTGTGTTGCATTGCCGCAGGAAGCCATGTACTTACACACTGCCTTTCTACTGGGGTGCTAGAACAGCAAGAATGTGAAGTGGAGCAGGGCTGAGTTCTGCCTCAGAGACCCCGTGTCCTCTCTGGGAGACACTGGGGATTAGATAGCTCATAACAGTTTGCCTGATGGAGAGTTGGGGTTCAGGTGAGGGATGAGGGAGAGAAGCTAAACTTACAAATTATCACAACAAACAATCCTGCAAAAGAGAATGGCTCTGCTTTGAAGGAAGGGTCGATTCCATTGACGTGTGTGTGGATGAGCGCCCACACCGTCCAGCCGCTGCTGCTTCTCAGCCATTCTAAAGGGGGGGGGGCTTTTGTGTTCCCTCGTGACACCGCAGGCTGATGGACGGAGGTGTCTGGGGACAGGATCAGTCCAGTGAGTGCTGTAGTTGATTGACAGTTGGGGAGAAGCGGAGAAGCAGGGTGAGCCCGGGACCAGCGCCTTCCCACAGCGCTAGCTTTGCTGTTGAGCCTGCTGACTTCCAGTTTCCCAGAATTTCAAAGGAGATCATGACTGAGGGAAGTGAGAAAGCTGCCCCTGGACCCTGATTCCTAGCACAGTGACTCGGTGGGTTGGGCTGGCCATGAGTGAGGCCAGAGGCAGCTCAGGGCCTCCCTCCTGACTCAGGCTCCAAGGTGGCCAGGTGACTGGGGAGGCATGGGGAAGGGGGAGCTTGAGGACACTCCATGTTTGCACAGATACATCTGTCTCTGCTTCTGCTACATGTATCATAATGCCTTGCTTTTAAAAATCATTTCAAGATGAGTTCTTTGAGGTTGGATCCAGGGTCTTACACTTGCAAGGCAAGCACCTTACTAATGGAGCAGTGTTCCGAGGCATTATATGCTTTTTATGGATGAAGATATGTGATGGGCTGTATAAGACCTCAGGAAAGCCCATGATAACTCTCTTCAGATCCTTAAATATATATGGGTTCAAATGTTGCTATATGGCTATTAGGAACAAAATACAGGCAGACAGGTAACTGGAATTCTGAAAAAAGAAAGAAAGAAAAGAAAACCAAACATTTGTCAGGAAAATTGTAATGGACTTAGGCTGAGAAAGGTGCTGATGGACTGCCATTGTGTTATGGTCAGATACAAGGTACAGACGAAAAGCTTATCTGTGTCATAGATACACTTTTCAACCCTGTTTCTATAAAACAGCCATTCCTATTGCCCAAGCTTCATTGTAAAAGAAGACATTTCTAGCTGCTCATCTAAAGGAAGGCAGCAGGTCAAGGGGTACAGGCAAGGTTCACGGTACATCACCTGAGCTGGCAGCCTCTTTGCTGCCCAACTTCAAGGAAAAATGAAGTGAGCACCAGTAGCAAAGATGAGAATGGCCCCAGGCTGGGGAAAGAGCCATGGTTTGGCCTGACTTTAAAATGCTCATTTGTTCTCTTGTTTCAGAATGCAGGGCTAGTGACAGTTACTACCACCCCCCTCAACTGTGGTCCTCGTCTGAGGGTGCTCTTGGGCCGCCCCTCACATGAAAAGCTGCTTGTTCTGCTTCCTGTGGGGTACCCTAGCAGAGAGGCCACAGTGCCTGACCTCAAGAGGAAAGCTCTGGACCAGATCATGGTGATAGTATAGTTGGCCAACTCAAGGAGATGCTGGGATGTGGGGATGTGGGGATGTGGGGATGCTGGGATGTGGGGGTGTGGGGATGTGGGGATGTGGGGATGCTGGGATGTGGGGATGCTGGGATGTGGGGATGCTGGGATGCTGGGATGTGGGGATGACACCAGCATCTCTCCTCCTGGGTCTGCTGGCTTCTCTTGCCCTCTGAATCAGGTCTTCTCCTGCAAACCAGTGTGCAAGGAAGGCCACTTTTCACATAGTGATATTTTCCCACACTTTCTAGAACTTACAGTCCAGTAAGTGAGTTTTGATGAACTATTTTAGTGAACACCTGGAGCAGAAGGTCAAGAAGCAGGCACACCTTAACTTCTCTACAAAATTATAGGTGTTATTTTTTCATTTACCTAAACAATTCATAAAGAGAAGTCACATTAGAAATTTTGCTATAGGGGATGATTTTTCATCTAAATAGTGACTAATCAAGTGGTCTTTCTGCTCTCTGCTTTCTGGCGGCTTTGAGATTAAGAATGTGCTATTGAAGCCTATTCTGTCCATAGAGATTCTGCGAATTTTGAATCACCTATCCCTAAAGTATCTAAACTGTGGCACTCACAGAACCAGGGGCCCTCTGCATGCGGTGGCTGTAGCTGGCATTCATCTACACATGATGGAGCTGCCTGGGCTGTGTCAGAGTGTGCTGGTACTAGCACTTGGAAGCTGGCGGTTCAGTCTTCTGGAATTAGACAACAGTTAAGCCACTTGCAGTCTAAAATGGTTCATGGCGGAGGTATTTACACCAAAGGAGGCAGCAACCACCGTAGGCAGTCTCGTCTCTCAGAGACACTGTTTAGCACACTCAGTGCCTCCTTCCTACTTGTTCTCATGAAACACACCTACCTGTTCTTCAGATACCAGCAAAGCTGTTTGGGACTGTCCTGGTCACAGGTGTCCAGCTGGACCTGCCAGAGCTAGTGAATCAGGCCTCCCAGGGACCTCCTGATGTACTTGCCTTTGTTTTGTTGTTTGAGAAGTTCTCCATTCAGCTAGTCTACTCACCTTTTCATGTCACTACCATGGCTGCCTCCCTCCTCTACCTCCTCTTCCTCCCTTTTCTTTTTATCCTTTTCTCCATGTTCTCCCTCTTTTTTTCTTCTTCACACCTCAGCTGGACCATTAATAAGAGGAAGTTGTTGTAAGCTGGTGTCTGAGAGAAGGAAGGTCTTTCTTTGCTCTGAAATAGAATGAGACTTCACAGGAAGCAGCAGCTTCAGCCCTGAGGCCCTTTGAAAGATCTGCAAGTTTCCAACATCTCCACAAATCTTCAGTTTCCTCTGCATGCTTTCCCTCCCTTCACTTGTGATAACTATGTGTCCCTGGGGCTTCACTGAATGAGGTTTCTTTTAATGCTATTGTGGCTTTAGTAGACCCTCGTGGGTGGGGTTAGGAACCAATTGTTGTACAGCTTATTGTTATATTGAACAAAGTTTCTCTGTGTTCTAAATATCAGAATAATAAACATACTTTCTTGTCACAGTATAAACAACATACACACAAACCAACAAACAACCTTTTTCTAAGGTCTGGAAATGGAGCTTACAAAATTCTTTGGTATATTTTTGTTTTCATCTGTGCCACTGAGTGAAACTAAGGCACAAAAAGGACCTTGTACCCTTTATAGGGTCCAGACTAGCCTCTGCTCTAGGGCATGAGATGGAGGAAGAGGGTTCTTAGCGTAACTATTCAAGTATGCAGCAACTAGAGAAGATGAAGAAAATCGAGAATTCCACATGAGTCCTCAAGCAAACACCATCACAGAGGGCTAGCTGGTCAGCTTTCCAACATTGTCCCGAAAGACATGTGGCCCTGGTTTTTCATGTTGGGGAAAAAAAAAAAAGCACAAAAATGTAGCCTTGGGTAGATTTGAGAAAGATATCTTTTGGGGAATTTGTGACATAGTGATAATGGTGATGGTGGTGACGGTGGTGGTGGTGATGGTGGTAGTGGTGATGGTGGAGGTGGTCATGGTGGAGGTGGTGGTCATGGTGGTGGTGGTGATGGTGGAGGTGGTGATGGTGGAGGTGATGGTAGTGGTGGTGGTGGTGGTGGTGATGGTGGAGGTGGTGGTCATGGTGGAGGTGATGGTGGTCATGGTGGTGGTGGTGATGGTGGTGGTGGTGATGGTGGAGGTGATGGTAGTGGTGGTGGTGGTCATGGTGGTGGTGGTGGTCATGGTGGTGGTGGTGGTGGTCATGGTGAGGGTGGTGACGGTGGAGGTGGTGATGGTGGAGGTGATGGTAGTGGTGGTGGTGGTCATGGTGGTGGTGGTGATGGTGGAGGTGGTGATGGTGGAGGTGGTGATGGTGGAGGTGATGGTAGTGGTGGTAGTGGTCATGGTGGTGGTGGTGGTGGTCATGGTGGTGGTGGTGGTGACGGTGATGGTGGTGACGGTGATGGTGGTGGTGGTGGTGGTGGTCATGGTGGTGGTGGTGACGGTGGAGGTGATGGTGATGGTGGAGGTGGTGGTTACTCACTAGGGAGTCCCATAGGTTTGCAGTTTTTGATAGAGAGTACATGTATGACACATGACAAAGTACATAGGGACGAAGCACACGCATACAACTTAGTGCAAAGTCAAAGAGCCTGTGGTACGTTCACATGCAGGGAGAGAGGGAGAAAGTAAAGGTTCCCTAGTGTCCTCCAATGATGGGTAGGTAGAACACTCATCGCCTTGGTTGAAATTTCCATCTCAGGAGTACTGGGGAGAGTCTCTTTCCTGTTTATTATTTGATACTATGGGAGGAAGAAGGCTTTCTCTGAGAAGTAAAATTGGGGGGAAATAGACATTGCACATATTCAAACACCAACTATATGAACTCCGTTTTACGCCAAGTGGATGAGTCAGGGTGCTTATCCACCTCAGAAAGATGGTTTACCAAGTGATGGCTCTGAAGATTTGACTTTTGGAAGAGCATTCAAATTGACAAGCTATCTTTAAAGTGTTTAAAAATTTTAAGGAATATTTATAACTAGAAAAAGTTCAGTTATCTGTGGATATTTTGCCTGAGAGGGACAAGAAATACAATGACAAATTTCCAGCTACCTATGGAGTATTACCTTATGATTTGGGTGAAATAGAACTGTGAAATGTTAATATTGCCAATCTATACAAACATACAAACGGTGAAAGATTAGAACGAAAGCTGCACCAGCTCTTAATCCACAGTGTGTCCCCCCCCCCCCAAGCAAAGCAAAGAGGGGAACGCGGCCATTGCCCTTCTGGGTGGCCTCTCTGATGTGCAGAACGTGCTGGGAAGGCTCAAGAATGGACAGTGTCCAAGCAACAGCGCTGCCAAGTCCAACAGCGCAGCTGATGGTATGTGAAATGCTATAATCCCGTTTGGGGGAGTTTCTAAAAGTCACAGGAAGGGGAGTGGCATGGCTTGGGAACTCTGGCTCAGGATTAAATGAGACGGCGTTGGAGCATCTTTAAGGCAAGTTGGAAACATGTGAGCAGTGTGTGAGAGCCAAAGCACAGCAGGAGCCTATGAGGTCATGCAGGAAGTATCATAAGCCAGGAGAACTTGCAGTTTGGAACATGGGTTCTAAAATGGCACCCTTCTGAAGTGCACAAAATGGAAGCCCCCCATCCATGTCAAATAACCCCTAACAAGGCTTAGGATCCCTATTCCCCGGCTCCGGAGGACTAACCTCACTCCTGAGCACCCTCCTCCACTGATCTGGGCCATCAGCCATGCTGTACTCCTGAGCTGCAACCTAGCAACTCTGAATGTCATGGGGTACAAAGTCTGTCCCTGTGTTGAGCAGTGAATCACCAGCACAGGGCGGTGTGAAGCTAAATACAGAGCTGATGAAAACCATCACATCCGTGCTGCTGATACACTCAGGCTCACTTCAGGAGGAATCGTGTTGTGGTGTGCTTTCCTTGTTTACGTGAATTAAATGTTGAAAGAGCTCATGAGCAGAAGCTAAAGTGCAAAATTGGTGTTTGGGTTGTGATTTCGACAGTGAGGTTTAAGACAACCTGACATAGCTCGTTAATAGTATTAGAGCAGACTCATTATAACTTGACCAGAATTAGCAGAGATGTTTAGATGATGAGAATGCCAAGGCATGGTGATACACACCTGTAATCACAACAGCGAAAGAGGCGGGTACAAGAGACTCCTTAGGTTTGAGGCCAATCTAGGCAACAGTGAGACACCATCTGAAAAATAAATTTAAAAGTTCACGAGAACAGCATCATTGGTTATAAACTGTCACATTAACTGTTTGAAATACTAAAAATTTTAATACAAAGCATTAACACAAAACACTGTGTAAATTTAAGCAGATTTTAATGTATTTTGTGTCTGTGTGGAGATCCGTGCATGTGTAAGTGCAGGTGCCTTCAGAGTCCAGTAGGGGGCGCTGGGCCCCTGGATCCGGAGTTATAGGTAGTTGTGAGCTGACTGACATGGGCGCTGGGAACTTAGGTTCTCTGGAACAGCAACAAGCGCTCTTGATTGCTGAGCCATATCTCTAGCCCCCAGCAACTGGACATTTGTTTGTTTGTTTGGTTGGGTGGTTGGTTTGGTTTTTTGAGATAGGGTTTCTCTGTGTAGCCTTGGCTGTCCTGAAATCAATCATTCTGTAGACCAGGATAGCCTGGTCTATCACAGAGATATGCCTGCCTCTGCTCACTCGCCCGCGAGTGCTGGGCTTAAAGAAGAATGAGTCACTACCACCCAGCTGGACCTTTTTAAGAGACTCAAGATTTAGTTGAATTTGTCTTATTCAGCTTGAGTTAATGAAGTATTTATCTAAGTTGCTCTTCGCTCAGGAGACTAATTTTATTTTACTTAAAATTTATATATCAATAACATGTGTATCCAGCCAGTTTTAACTTATATTGTGCTGCTATAACAAAGTATTGAAGATGGGGCCATTTATAAACAAGGGAAGTTGTTTTTTGTTTTTTTTTTTAACTCAAAAGCTCTGCAGACCAAGGGCATGTTTCCTGGAAATCCTTTTGTGTGTTATAACATGCCTTCCTCTACATGTTTCCCATCAGGCCTTGCCCACCAGCACGATTGCCTTGGCAATTGAGTGTGCTAGTTTGGAGCCACAGCGTAGCCAAAAAGTAGCAAACACGGCATTAGCTTTCCCTCCTCGTGCTGGGAGGAAGACATCACCCAGAAACAAACCCATCAGGTCAGAGAAACGAGGCCGAGCCTCAGCGGTCTCTTCTCACAACCACAGAGGCTGCCAGGGCCTCGACCCTCATAGCCAAAAGCTCAATCCTGGAAGCATCATAAGCTTTCGAAAATATGATGTGCACGCTGAATGTCCGCAGAAATATCAATATTGTCCGCCGACCCTCTCAGCCATCTACCTACCTACTGGATCTCAAAACTTCAAATGAAAGAGACAAGAGCCTGTTCCTAGCAGTAACTGCCAGGGATTCTGCTGTCTCCAGCAGACGCATCAGTCTTAGGATGGATTAGGATTTGCCAAGGGAGTGCTTGCCTGGCTTGCTGCCAGCCTTGGCCCTTTCTCCTGAGCCCGAAACTTACACCTGACTGCCTTCCGCGCCCCCTCCTGTAGAGACCCTTCAGTCATAAACTTTCCCTGTTCAAAGTGGTACTTTTAAGTCATCAGACCTTACCTGGATGATCAGTTCACACCCCTTTTCACGGAGTCCCAGTTTAGAAAGCATGTTAAATTCCAATCACTCTCTAACCCCCAACATCCAAACCCAGTAGTAAACCTCGCTGATTCTGTCTCCCAACGTTGTCCATGGAAAGGAGCATGAAGAAGCAATATGGATGAGGGGCTCAGGTCCTGTGCTGCAGTGAATAATAAAGCCTTTGCTCTAGCCGAGGAGTCTTGGGTCTGCTTCTAACATCCGCCGTACCCAGTATGGAGACAGGCTCCCTTGTGACTGTGTGTGTGTGTGTGTGTGTGTGTGTGTGTGTGTGTGTGTAACTCTCAGGCCCATGACAGAATTCTGCACTAGAGGCTTCCTCTACCCAGCTGCTCCTCTTCTAGCTTTTGTTGTACCTGGCTGTATCCCGTTGGCCATGTTTTTGGCTCAGTTGTGACCTCCTCTCTGAGAAGCCCCTGGTGATCACTCAGTCCTTCCTTGTTAAGTCAGCTTTCTGCCACTCAAACAAATACCTGTGGCGACTGATCTCATGAAGGACGACGTATTTTGCGTCCTACATCCAGTGTGCAGCTCATGATGTTGGAGCCCTTGTTTGCAGGCCTCTGTTTGTACTCTGCAGACGGGCACGTCCCAGCGAAGTGCTTTTCTCATGGACAGGAAATGAAAGCAAAGAGGATCTCTGTGAGTTCGAGGCCAGCCTGGCCTACAATGTGACTCCAGGACAGCCAATGCTACACAGAGAAACCCTGTCTCAGAAAACCAAAATAATAATAATAATAATAATAATAATAATAATAATAATAATAATAATAATAATAATAGGGGTTCCACGATTCCCTTCAATGACCAGAAGACCTCCCTGTCGTCAGCTAAAGGTGCA